ATGAAAGAAACGAAAAGAGAGAAAGTGAAGATTAGATTGGTAAAAAGAGCGGTAGAGTATGAAAGAAGGATAGAAAGAGAAAGAGAGGGAGGAATAGTCAAAGAATGCATAAAAGAAAGGAAAGCAGGAAAAGGGAATCAAGAAAGAATAAGGGAAAGACAATATCACCTCAAAACATGTGGTTTTAGCCAGATAGGAGTAGATAGTAGAACAATTGTGGAGAGAAGGGAAACCAGCAGGGAAAATACTAAGGAAAAGAAAAGTGGAAATACAAAGACAAAGACAGTGGAATAAAATTCAGAAGACGAGATACAATTGGAAGTATCTGGTAACAGAAGAATATAATACCTAGAAGGAGAGAAGGAAAAATGGAGAACAGAGGGTGATAGCCAGAGCAAGATGCGGCACCCTAGAAAATGGAAGTAAATTTTGGGCGAGCGAAGAAGAACGGAAATGTGAATTGTGCAAGGAGGGGGAGGGAACATTAGAGCATTGGAGAGACTGTAAAGAGATGGAGACAACAAATGCAAATTCGGAAGAGATACTGAGTGAAAAAAGCGGGAAAGAAGCGATAAAATGGCTTAGGCGAATAGAAAGGAGAAAGAAAAATAAAGAGAGACAGGGAGAAGAGAAAGAAGAGATAAGGCAAGTCTAAAAAAAGAGAGCAACAAAATAAACATGAAATAAAATGAAAGAATTAGGTTAAGATATTTAAGTAGACAAAAAATAGCATAGTTAAGATAAATATAAGTATAGGATAAAGCAAAATAGGATACAAAAATATTATGTAAATATTATAACATGTAAAATTTAGGATAAATGCAATGCGAAATGTGCAATGTAAAAACCAAAGTCAATTTCAAGGCCAAAGAGACTGAAATAAATATATACATACAGTAGCCGATTAGAAAGTCGATTTTCGGAAAAAGGAGAAGCAAGGTTGCTCTCTTGGAGATGAAGATGTAACCTTAGAGGGAAAGTCTTGAAGAATTTTCGAGGTAGAAATGAAAGTACTGTGGTTCAAGAGATATAACTTGTCTCATTCGTCGTTATAAGACCACATTGCAATGCATTTGACGCATTGAAATTTCGTAAATTTTTGTCTTCCTCTACTGTGAATTCGTAATTTCATGTTTTCAAGTTTTCCATCATGAAATTACAACCCTGACTTTTTACTTCTCGCAATTGTGAACCGTGTCCGTGGAACAATATAACATTTAATTTCCATTTCTAACAATCGTTACTTACTCATCGCCCAAAATTTATTATTTATATGTATAATAATTGTATCACATTTTAATTCTAATTGTAGTCAAAAGACAAAAGGCACGTGGAATCTCAACTATTCCAGAAGATGAGAAAGAAGAGAGTCAACAGTACAGATTATAGCGTGACAAATAACATGCTATTTTCGCGTAACAATAGACATCAATAGATGCGGGGAAGATGTGACAATTTGAAAGTCCATTGAACGAAATAGTTTTGTGGAGCGCTAGTCCAGGTGGCTTGAAAAGGCAATTAAACGTATAAACGATGGAAATTAGCCGCAAGAATTGGTTTCGAATCTTGGTGAACGTGCGAATCCCTTGAATGGATTCGCGGGCATCAGGGCCATTTAACACGATGACATCCCATTTACCACCCCCGCAAAGAGACCACAGGATACCGACAAAGCCCTAAAGCCCATATGTTAGCACGTGCCGATGACCATAGGTGCTCTGTATCGTTCAATGTTCGTACTGTTGGAATAGCGAACGGTCAGTTTCCCCGTTTATTCGTCACAAACATCACGACGTCACGTATCACGTGAAAATTAACACTGACATGACTTTGTGATTTTTCATCATCTTGTTTGGATTAAAATTGCATTGTTTCTTGAATCAAAGAGTATTGTATCTATAAACTTGTATCAATTTGTATCTATAAACAGTCAAATATTTAATGTAAAACAAGATACTTAATATATAATATGAAATGAATGAAATTAAAACATTTCTATGTTAAAAAAAAGAAACAGAATTTACTTTATGTTCCCTTTCATATGGTAGTCGTAACACTCGATTTAAAATAATTTTACGTTATTTCCATTAATTAATTATAGTTGTATAAATATTTTTAACAATAACAGTTCAACGTTTTTAAATGTTAAAATTAATGATTTATATATTAATACTTTATATCTATTAAATATTATAAATTATAAATAATATATATATATAAATAACTTATATATTTATCTTAAAATATAGATAAGTTTAAGCTCAAAAAACAACAGAGTTATAGGATTATAATTGTTAAATAAATAACCTAAGAACAAAAAGAGGAGGATACACTATCGGCAAGAAAATGAAAAATCACACGTTACATACATACATTGATACCTCTGTCACAAACATAGTATGCGGACGATTTTCTAGTAAAATTTTCCTCGTTTCAAGATATAGTCGTCCATTTACATACATGAACTTTTTGCATATTTATATGATGTACGTGTATATCCCAAGGAGCAGGATAAAAAAGAGGGGCCGGTCGAAATCAGCGGATTCACGAATTCTTTCTTATTTCGTCCTAATTCGAGGAAACGACCATCGTAAAACGAATCAGAGGGGTATCATACCTCGGAATTTCTTCTCCCTATTACCCTCTGGACGCTCGTTTTTGCTCCACCCTCCTGGATCTGGCGATGAAAAGAGGAAAACGTCGGAGAACCAAGCAGGAAATCGTATCCAGTGGAAAATGGCGATCCTCCCTATACACACAATTACTTTTCAGACCTTTGCTTCTTATTGAATTATCGGAACTACACCCGCGAGATCGAGTTTTTACTGCGCTACACGCGAAAAATTTCTTTACAGATCCGCCATTTTCGCTATCGAATAAATATCGATAAATTCGATCGAAATTCGAGCATGCACAGTGTGCATATCCGAGAAACATTTCGTAAATAATACAAATATAATGTAGATCATAACAGAAAGGATGGCATGTCTTCTTAATGTTAGATTTCTTATTATTTTATTTTATTTTATTCTTTCACATTTTTATTGTTTGTTTATTTATTACTATATTTATTACTATATTTGTTACTATATTTATTACTATATTTGTTACTATATTTATTACTATATTTGTTACTATATTTGTCGATACTAACCTTAATGAACTGATTGGCAATTAACGTGTTATGCACATTTTGAAATTCCGTTATGCTCACTTCGAAATTCTGACGATACAGAGGAAAAAACTTGAGAGCAAAGATTCATAAATTAATTCCTTTACAATAATTAATGATTAATTGCCTTTATAATTAAATGTGTATATGCAGGGGCTGCCATCAATCACCATATAAGGACACTGACGCTTCATATCGGAACTAATGAGTTTAAATTCGTGGCATAAGTGCTGCCATCTGTTCAATCAGGCTGAAAAATATCAGTGCTTTTAACTAAGTAGATACTCTGTCTTATATATTTAATTATTCGATTTCTGAAAATCTTGTGCACTTTTGGATGTTTATAATAAAGAGCAGATTTCAAACAAGCTTCACGTACAGTTTTGGAACGGACTTTCTGTCTGATTAGTTAATTATTAATAAATATTGTAACAAATGTCAGGACTACTACTGCGATAGATGTCTTCTAATTTCTCTTAATATGTAACTTTTGCAAGATTAATTTCTATGCGACTAAGAAGACTTCCTTGGACACTCTATTCCAAAACTATAAGTAAATTTAGTTCAGTTTAGGAAAGGAATAATTTTATTCTCTTGCTCTTTATAACGCGCGTATATTTGTCTTTGTCGCGCGGTATTGCGCTCCTTGTTTAACAGAAGTTAAGATACTTTCTTGCACATTCTACGTTCCCGTTATTACTTTGTAATTTCTACCAGATTCAATAGAGGGCAGCATCTGATCATAAACTGTAGCGACCTCTACTTCGAAGAATTTAGATCAACGACATCTATGTTCCGTCGAGATGTGTATAAACAATAGAATATTTAAAAGTAGCTATTAATTTTATTATCACTATAGAAATGTTTACTGACACTTATATATATTGTAGCCATAGAAATTCTTCATTCGTTATTTCGTTATTTCGTCATTTAACTTCCATTATGTAATCTTCATTAAATTATTAGTAATTGTATATTTTGTGATATTGATAATATTTTTATATAAACAACTAAAATTAATTACGGAGTTATTATTTATTTATAGTATTGTGATATAAATATAAATTATCATAATCACTATAAAACAAAGAACGTAATCATACGACAAAGATAGGTATAGAAATTAGTTCCACCATTTTACCGTTACGTGACGCTAGCATTTTAGTGTCCATAAATTGAACATTACAAAATTGTCAATTTTGTAAAATGGATTATAATAAAAATACTCATTAAAAAATTATATAAAAATTATATAAAATAATTATTATTTATTTCCCGCTTTATGAAATAATTTACAATAGTGTGACATATATTTTCGTTTTAATTGTATTTTCCTTTTTGAATAATCGACTACTATGCCCTCTCTACGAAGAACATTACGATTCCAATGCTAGTTCTTTCAGCAACTGGCAAAGCGACAAGATGGTGAGTTTTGCACATAACATTCTTAAATCTATAATTACGGGTAGAATCTTACACAGAATGTGGAAATTTTTAATAGAAAATTAAGAAACGTTTATTTATGTAATCTGCTATGAAAATATTTTTTATCTTTTCGAGGGAAATTGTATGATATTCTATCATCTGCTTGTTGAATGTTTTGATTATTTTTATTTCGAAGGCTTACAATATAATGTGAAATTTTTTAGTTTATTGTTTTTTTATATTATATTTTTCCATTCTTTACACATCATTTTTTATCATTGTAAAGATGAGTTTTGAAATAATTAACTGACGACAGTATCCGTTTGTAGGTTAACTCGCGTGGTAACCTTAATAATGTGTACGATTCTATGCAAATAAACGTTGTTTTCATTGCTGTAAATTTATGTTTCAGTCACTTGTAATTCCAGAAAAATTCCAACACATTCTTCGTGTCATGGGCACGAACATTGATGGCAATAGAAAGGTTATGTTTGCCATGACAGCAATCAAAGGTGTTGGTCGCCGTTATGCCAATATTGTTTTGAAAAAGGCTGATATTGATTTGGATAAACGTGCTGGAGAATGTTCTGAGGAAGAAGTAAAAATTAATTTTTTGTTAATATTATACAACTAAAAGTTACCATATCTTTTATCTATATTTTTTAAAATATTTTTATCAGGTTGAAAAAATTGTTACTATAATGGCTAATCCCAGGCAATACAAAATCCCTGATTGGTTCTTGAATAGACAGAAAGATATTGTTGATGGCAAATATTCGCAGGTATGTGTATTTACGAATGAAAAAGATAAATATGCAAAGCACAATATCACAGCTAAACATATGAACTTTATGAATTAGTTGGTAAGTTGTGCTAGAGAAACTGCGTGGTAGATTTTATTATTTAATATTGAAATTAAATAAGATATTAAATAATTGATTACTCTGCAACATATAAAGTTTAATATTATAATAATTTATCGAGGAACTTGCAAATAATAATTATTGTGTCACATTTTAAAGCTTACCAGTTCATATCTGGATTCAAAACTTCGTGAGGATTTGGAACGAATGAAAAAGATTCGTGCTCACCGAGGTTTGCGCCACTATTGGGGTCTGCGTGTACGTGGTCAACATACAAAGACCACGGGTCGCCGTGGACGTACAGTAGGTGTATCGAAAAAGAAGTAATTTTATATTGATTATCAATAAAATAATAAAACAGCATTAAGAGTTTCATTTGATGAATGAATGACACTTATTTTGAACAATATATTTATTATACACAATATTAACATATATACATATATAATGATTTTAATATTTGTAGAATATTTTTTTCTTTTGAACAGTACAATTTTAAACAGGTTTACAATTACATAACATTTTCGAAATATTTGAAAATTGACTGCTTGTTTTGATATGCTTTTTGTACAATATTTCGCATTATTTATACAGTTTAAGAATATATAGTTCAAAAATGTGTTCCTCGATTAATCATAATTTGGTAGTTATTTTTTACATTGACTGCATAAGAAATATTTCATAGTGCATAGTGTAATTTGAATTCAAACCAAAAATAGAATTAAATATTTAAATATAAGGAATGTACATTAAAATTATTGACTGAATTTTCGTTGACCAACATTGATTAATTCTAAATATGCTGCTGGTACTTTTCCTCGTTTTATTCCACTTATACCAATTACGTAGTCCTCATCGCCAGGTATCTCGATAACGGTAATTACCTATAAGGCAGTTAAATTCTAAATTTGTTCAAATTTAATTTTCTAAATTTCAATGTATCAAAGGAACTCGTCGAGTTAAACAAATAAAAAAAAAAAAACTGAAGCTGAAACAATATAAGAGCAAAAGTTTAAGACCATAAAAAATAAAATACATTTAACAGGATGAATGACAATTTATTGTTCGTACATGCAAGTATTGAGTAAATGTACATTTGTGTTTTTTATATGCATACAAGTAACATTAATTTTTTATGTATAAACAAATATACAAATTAAGACAAATATATAATATTAAATACCAAAAACAAATTTAACAAAAGTAGGAAAATTAATTATACATATTCGTAAAACTTACAACTAAAAAATACAGATATCATGCATAATTATTCTTAGAAATCTAATGTCAGATGTATAAAAATCTACTAATCTTTAAACAGAAAGACTTGAGCTAAATGAGTATCATAAGTAATATATATATATCTTTGATAACACCTTAAATCATTCTTAGGAGATATAAAACTACAAAAATTTATTTACACTATTTTTGAACATTCTGCTTTTATTTTACACACTATAGAAACAAAAAAATTCAAGATCTATATGACAATGTATCATAGAGAATTCTTATATAAGTAGCATTGTTATCTCCTACATTTTCTATAAAGCAAAAATGTATTTAAATGCACAATTTTTATCTTCATGTACAAGTAATATATTTCTTTAAAAATTCATCGATTTTTAATACTTAATAATGAAATTTCATTAATTATAGAAAACAAAAAATTCGAACAATTAACCTAATGAAAATTGTAAAACTTTTTCAATCAGTATTACAAAATTTTTACATAATAATTGAGCTAATGAAACTCACTTTTAATAACGTTTCATGCCATTTGTACGGCTATGCTGCAAACATGCTTCTCAAATTAAATTACAAATTTTGTTACCTCATTTTGTTCGACGCTTAATTCATCGGAATTTGTCGCAGAAAAATCGCATAATACCCTTGCTAGTTGTTCATCATTCCCTGATACATTGGATGTTGATTGGGTAGTCGGATGATAAGGACCCCCAGATAAGCTGGGTAGGATAAATTATAAATTGGATGAGTTTGGTGTACATGCGTTTTAAAATGAATCAACTATTTGCGCAAACATGAAAAATTTCTTTTTCTTAAATATTTTAAATTTTAATTGTATTTGTAATCCATGATATTTAACACAAAAAACTTAATAATGGAATACTCTAATATATTCTTTACTTTGCAAGAAATAAGCAGGAATTGTTTACTTGTTTCATTAGGATTTTATATAATCTACATGCTAGATACGTACAAATGAATATAATCAAAATTACTGAAAGACTGATATACACATAAAGGCGTAAGCAGTTCAATAAATAAGAAAACGAAACACAACATTTTGAAAGATAATGAAATTGTGAAAGAAAGAATACTTTTTGATAAATATCTTGTTAGTATTAAAGAAAATTTAGCAACATGCATTAAAAACAAACATTAATTAGCTGTACAATATATACTTGCACATTAATTCAACTGTAAAGAACAGTGAGAAATATATAAAAAAAAAACATATACAATTTTTCTCCTAATTACATTATTTTTTTGGTTAATATAATAAACACTGAACCTTTATTCATCGATAGTAAATAAACGTTTTATAGAGATAATTTATTTACTGATTTCTGATAGTTACAGATTTTAAGGTAGTATAATAGATTAAGAATTATTCAACATATTTCTAAAATTGCACCAGTTAACAAGTATATATCTATATATATCAAAGAGAAAATGCCCTAGCTTTCGTTTATTATTTTAGATCACAATTATTACAAAGTAGTTATTGCCCTTTTTTTTAACGTGCTTATAAGCTTTTAAAGCTAAACTTTTGAAATATCGGTATCAAAGGTAGCAGTAACATAGGTAGAACCAGCAAGTGATGGATGTATAGAGGAATTTTGGGATTGTGAAGGTGAAGGTGTTAGCTCGATCACATCTTCGCTGTTGACTCGCAGCAAAGGACTCGGTTGACGTGTCCTGCAATCCCAATCATGCAGGCAGATAGAGAATAGAAAGAGTACATTGAAAGGATAAATAAGTATAAAAAGCATAGGGCTACAGCAAAAAAAAAAGGTACCAGTTTTATTGTGAAGCATTTAATTAAGATAGATTACTACTGCTACTTAAAACGAGAAACAAAATGAAAGAAAGACATTACATATTTCACGTTTATAGAAATCAGCAGAGTTTTAAACAGTACAAAATGATGATCTCTGCGAATGAGTAATGGTTCTATAAGCTTATTCTAAATACTTTTACATGTCATATATGACATAACAGTCAATAATTATTAAGCATTACTCACTCGGATCACCAAAGAGTGGGATAGCTGTACAAGGGTAGTGCAGGATAATTAAACAATATTTGAAAAAAAGAATCTTTAAAAAAAAAAAATTTATTATCTTACCCAGCAAGTTCACGTTGTAAATCTTGCATTGTTGCATGACATTGAGCATAATAACGAGCTTGTGCCTCAACAAATTCATGCAAACAACGCAAGTGCCCAGCTTGAGAGCTTTGAACACCTTCCAGCAGTAGCTTCACTATCTCTGCTTGACGATCGAACTCCGATTGTGCTATTCTCAACTCCCTTTCTGCCTAAGTAGAGTAATAGAGAGTTTTATTATCTTATATCTGATTAGCATAGAGGATTATTTGTAAAACATAAAAACTGCTGATAGGGAATAATTTAGAATAATTTTTATGATGAAAAATATGTAAATGAACAGATTTGAAAATTAAAAAGATGTACATATTTTAAAGCTAGCCATTAACTTTGAAGGTATCAACTCCATTAATACCTGATCAAGTAATACTTCGGGTGATACCCCAGACTCCTATGAGATGCAGCAATGTATAGGACAAAGCACATAGTAAACATAGAGAGTACATAATTAAATATAATAATAAATACTAGAACTTACACTCTGTTGACCTAGCATACTTCTTGCTTTCCTCACTCGATTTTTACATGCATCTAAATCCAATCTAAAAATGAGAAATAGAAATATTAACAATGAACATTTAAATGTGTGAGAAAAAATGAAGTATATACCGTTTAGTTTCCAATATTGACATTTCCTTAGTCACAGTTTTCATTTCACCTTCCAAAAATTTTCTTAAGGGTTGTATATAACAAATAGCTGAATCCTTAATGAAATTTCTCTCAATTTGTCCTAATTTTTGCTGACACTGTCCAACCTTGTTTAATGCACTGCCTAAAGAAAAGTTTTAGGAATTATAAAAAATACAGAAGAGTGTTGCTAAAAAAAATTACAGCAACATACCATAAGCAATTCCTGGACCAAAATCATTTCCAGCTTCTATCATATCCAAGCCTACATATTCCAAATTGCTTAATCTGTTAGGTCTCTTTTTATCGATTTTTTCATAGAAGAAATCTTCAATTCTATTGCCTACAATAAAATACATTGTATAAATACATGTTATAATTTCAATTAATGTATATTTTAATACCTGGATTTGGAGTAAGTACTGCCTCCATATTTCTAAGGATTTTCTCAGTCCATGTCTTAGTTGCATTTGCTCTTTCTGCAAGATGCTCTAAATGTGCATCTAATTCAGTTTTCTCAGATGTTCCCAATGTTTCCTCTGTTAACTATGAACAAATTTTAATTGATTGTAATAAATCTAAGCATTTGACTATTTAATTTGCCATAAATTCTTATATTTTTTCTGACATCAAACTAGATTCTGTATCTAAATTTTGACGACGTTAGCATGAATAATATGAAGTGTTAGTCATTTCAATCTATATCTGAGTCATCAAATGATCAGTTATTTAAACTCATACACATTACACATCCATATTCTGCAATCATGTAAAATTAAGGAACTCTATGAGTATAAACAATATAAATTAAAAATAAAATAGAAAATTAACAAACAGCACAGTGTAGAACATGCAAACAATTATTGAGACGTGCTGTATATTTACTAACCTTACATCTCAATAATTAAGTTTAATGCACAAAGACAAATTACAAGTGAAAGTATATATGTACTATTTCCCATATAAAAACGATTAGCGAATACATAATTTCATAACGTTTAAATAAAGCAATAACTGTCAAGTAAAGATCATCTTGTTTAAATGTTTTCCCGAATGGAAAAGGTACAAAATGTCAGAAATGACAGCGTTCAATCACAAGTGCCTTAGCTAGTACTGTTTCTTGTCAACAATTTGTTAATTATCATAGCAGGTACTTCTTACCTGTACAACCCTGCTAAGCGCAGCACCAGCGTCTTTGACCAATTTCTTAACGTTTATATCCATTTTTATACGCCTATTACGAATACGAATCTTCTACATCAATTCTCTACTAATCTGTACATGTATTCTCTATCGACCACAGATTCTAGGTGCCTCCGCAAAGAGGCGCTTCGTTTGCAATTTATGTAAGTGGGTATCGGATTTTTATAATACTGTTCTTGATAAGATTTATACAGGATTATCTATCATAAACTTTGACAAAGTACTGTTTATTTTCCGTTAAAGATCAGATCAGCATTTGTTAAAATTCTGGAATTTATCAATAGAAAAAGTATACTATTCTTAGTCAATGGTATGATATTTTTAATAGAAAGGATAGACCTTATATTTCAATAATAGATAAAAGATAAAAAACCGTATTCGTAAAAAAGAACTTTCACTATTCTTCAGCTGCTATTTGTTTATTTTATTCTTTACAAATATTATCTTTTCGTAGTAAAAAATTAAGTACCTTGAAGTAGCTCGAGAAACTACTTCAAAAAATTCATTGCTGAAAATTTTTCGAAGAAAATATTCCAATTCCAATAAATAACAATAACAAACTACAAAAAAATGATATATACGTTACTTAGTAAAATATTGAAAGACATTTCCTTTAAGTTCTTTCCAAATTTTGCTAGGAATTTAGACTAAATGAAATTTGAAATTTTGTTACAAATATTTGATATGTTAAGACTAGTAACATAAATAAAATGAACGTGCTTTCCAATTCCTATTTTCGTTTCAATTTATCAAAAAATTGTTTATAGTGAATGAAAGAAAGAGATGTATCTAAGTAAGTTTATATAATACGTGGAGGGACCAGAAGATCGCGTGCGCTGCAATTTGTATTCGGGATGGAAGAGTTATTTGTAATTTAAAGTCTGTGATCGTTAATACCTTATTTAAGAATTTATTCATGCATAGCGTAATTTTGAAAACCGTGAAACGGTGAGTTTGATGTGAGAAATTCAACCAATACAGATGTCCTATCAAATTTTATTCTCTCCGTGAATAAAGATAGATTAACCTATAATGTTTTGTAATTTGACAATGAATATAACATGATGTATTGTGAATTTGACAAATCTGACAAATTTGAGAAACAGGAAAATTTGAAATAAAAATTGCATTGGGAGGCGAACTAATAACATTTATTTTTCAACGCATAAATTATATCATACACACGTATCACGGTGAAATTTCATTTGAATTACTTGACTTGAATTTTCATGAATGAAACTATTATAGTTTTTACAGTTTTATTGTTAATAAAATATATACATTTTATGTATCATTTATAATTATCTAAAATTTTAGGTTTCATACAAGAAAGCTATTAATTTCTATTCAACCTGAATTAAAATTTTCTTCCTCACCTATATCAAAAAATATCACATCAATTACTATGACTATGACAGATGAAGAGAAAGATTTGAAGCTCGAAACAATTCAGTCTGAATTTTGCACATTAACCTGGTTGTATAAAAGTGCTCCTTGCTTTCCTGTGAATGGATCTAAAGTAGGTTGAAATTACTTAATTTTGAAAGAATTGGAAATATATTTTACAGAGATATTCTACTTTCAGATTAAAATAATTCATGAACCAAATACATTTTATTCTACTCTTGTACAGAAGTGCAAGAATGCTAGAAAAAGAATAACACTTGCATCGCTATATTTAGGCACAGGAAAATTAGAATCTAGTTTAGTAAGCATATTTCTAGATCTAGGCATTTAGTGGGTTAATATGATTTATAGTGGTTTTGTTATGCGTAGGTAAATGTTGTAAATGAAGCTTTAATTGCAAATAATGGTAACGTTGAAGTAAAAATTTTGTTAGATTTTATGAGAGGATCCAGAGGTAAATTAAATTCTCGTAAGATGTTAGAACCATTACTTAATGGAAAATATGGTCATTGTTGTCAGATTTTCTTGTATCATACTCCTAAACTTCGTGGATTCTTAAAAATGATTATACCAGATCGTTTCAATGAATTGATAGGACTACAACATATGAAGCTATATATGATAGACAATGACATAATAATTAGCGGGTAAATAATAATTATATATTTAATTTTATGTGAAGTCATATAAATAAAAAGTTATAATTTATTATGTTTTTTAGTGCTAATCTCAGCACTGACTACTTTATAAATAAACAAGATCGTTATTTTCTAATTGAGGATTGTAAAGAGCTTTGTGATTTTTATGATGAATTAGTTCGAAGAGTCGGAGAATTTAGTTTTGTACTTCAATCTGATGGTACGGTATCTTCTGCTATGAAAGTCAATCCTATTGAAGATCCTATTTCATTCATTAAAGAGGCTGCACATAGCGTAAAAACTTTGTTCCAGAGAGAATTAGGATCTTCTGATCCTGAAAAAATAGGTATATATACATATATACTTTTATATTTATATGTGTATTTATGAAATAAATCATAGCAGAATGAAATAAATCAAGATTAAAGTTTAAGTTCAATTTGTAGGAAAAGATACTTGGATCTTTCCTTTGGTACAAATGGGTCAATTAAACATTTATCACGATAGCCAGATAACATTGAGACTTTTACAGACAGCCCCAGAAGGAGCAACACTTAAACTAGCAACTGGTTATTTTAACTTAACTTCGGAGTACAGTAAAGCATTACTTGAGCATTGTCAAGGAACATGTCATCTTCTGACAGCACATCCAACTACAAATAGTTTCTTTAGTAAGTTTACATTATAGAAATAAACGAAAGAAAATTCTTTACTTTTTCGACTAATGTGATGGATTACATTCAGCTGCAAAGGGCATTGCTAATAGTATCCCAGCAGCATACACAAAAATAGAAGAATCATTTGTTAAATACTGTAACAAGTTGGGACAACAAGATAGAGTAATTTTATGGGAATTTATTAAGCCAGGATGGATATATCATGCTAAAGGACTTTGGTATTCTTTACCAAATCAAGAAAAACCATGTCTCACGCTTATTGGATCTCCTAATTTTGGTAAAATCTAATATTCAAAGAGAAATTGACTTTGAAATAATAAAAAAAAATTAATTTTAGGTTACAGATCAGTGAATAAAGACTTAGAAACTCAGATTGCTATTATAACCAAAAATAGAAACTTACAAAATGAACTACAAAAAGAGCAAGAACGTTTGTTTTTACATGCTCAGCGTATAACGAATGAAACATTTTCTGAACGAAATAGAGTTCCTCCAAGTTGGGTATGTGCTATTGTTGTTCTGTTTCGATATTATTTTTAGTATTTTATCTGTTAAATGTCTACTATTTATAATCTAAGTCAATATACATATAGGTAAAATTCATTTATATTATTTTTTTAATACAAATAATTATATGAATTAGAAAAGAATAATAATTTATATTATTAGTTTACAAATTCCTCATTCGTCATTTACATTACATTTATAATTAGTAAACAGGTATAAATAAAAAAATTTCTTTCTCCATTTTAAATATATAAAATTGGATAAATCGAGTTATATGGGTTTGATAAATAAAAACATATGTCGTATATGTTTATACTGATAATAATTATTTGTTAAATGACATACTATCCTGTATGGAACGTGATAAAACTTTATGGTACTATGTTTACGATGTTTCATACGCAACATCGGGAGAGTGGAAGTAATTCCAATTAAAGTATAGAAATAGTATAAGAGAAACTGTTCATAACCACTTAAAACAGTCATTTCAGTTCACTATTGAGAGTCACAATTTATGTGACTCTGGAAGATAATTATTTCGATGACACTTTTCACAAATGATTGAATTGGTTTTGCACTAGAGATTTCCAAAAATGGCAGAGATAGAAACTTCTTCCACACAGTTTTTTTTTACTTTTCGTCGATGATGAATGTTTCTTCTTTGACGAAAAATTCTATTACTTCTTCTTCTACATTCTTTGAATCAGAATCTAATTCGTCGGTGTCGATAGCTAAAAAAGAGTTTAATACATAATGTAATATACTTCACTTTTAAATTTAATAAAGATATTTGTCACGATACAAACCATTACGTAATTCTAAACGTCGCTTCTTCTGGTTATTCCATTCTTGTATACGTTTTGAACGATATTCTTCAAATGCTTTCATTGCTGCGCAGCGTTTCTCGATTAATTCCTAAAAAATAATATTATTAGCAATGTATTACTATCCACTGATACAATACAACGCAAGTACTTACTTTTGAAGCACGCGTCAATCGCATACGATCTTTGCTTTCAAATTGTGCTGAATATTTCTTCAAATTTTTCTTAATTTCTTTAATTTGTTCTGGTGTCAATAACGTTGGTGGTCTTGGTCTCCATAATAATTGATTGAATTGATTAAGATTAACTCTTTTTAAGATACGTCCTTGGAACGTCCAAATCCAATATCCATTATCTACACTAGTTTTCCAGCTCGAAACTGCTGTTACTACATACCTATGATAAAATATGTAGTCATATAATTTTTATAACAAAAAATTCTTCCTGTGTGGGTATATAAATATAAAAATAAATTTCTACCGTCCAGTAGGATCCCACTCTACATCTGAAGTTTGATAATGGTCAGTTGAATTCATAATGGTAAAATCATTAGTATCAATGAATTCCAAAGCTCCTGCCATAGTTGTTAATCCAGCAAGAACGATAAATTGTCCGGATGGTGACCAAAATAAATGATTGCATGCCTTTTTTTCTAATTTTTCTGTTGAATAAAACAAATGTTTATGCACATGACATCCTGATAACATTGAGATTTACAAGATAATTACTATAAACCTACTAAGAAGGGCTGGCTGATGGCCATATCGTACTTCGTAAAAGCTAACGTTTACACTTGGAATTTCTCCATGAATGATGGCAAATTTGCTTCCAACAGGTTCCCAAGCAAATGCATGAATTGGTTCCTTTATTTCAACACTGTCGACTGGAATTTGCTTTTCTCTCATATGAAAGATTTCAAAATTATATGACATACCCTGTTAACGAACACATGAATTATTATACGTATAACACACGTATTTTATTTTACTACGTTCAATTAATTTAATAAATACCGTGTATTTCTGTTCTGTCTTCTCTTTGCGCTTGGCAAAACGATCAACTTTCACACACAAGTAATCTCCCGACTTCTGCCAATAAATTTTACAGTCAGCTACGTTAAACAAGTTTTTGTTACGAATTTCGTTTCGGCTGAAAGTATGTATCGCAATCGATAATTTAAACAATTGACGAAATATGGAATATGTTAAAAGATAATATTAAAAATGCATTACTTTGGAATTTCGAGAAGAGTGACTCTAGCAGGAACGTCTTTATCTTCTGGCACCCAGTAAGCAAGAACGTTATCCGTGGGAGACCAACTAAAATCTCTGATACCGGGAATTTTTATACTCTTTTTATCCAATAATCCGAATGACTGCAACATTTGTAATAAATTTACTAAAGTTCACATAATGAAATAAAATAATGTTGTCTACAACATCGTTAAAAAAAGAAGCATACAGGTGTTTCATAAACACTTAAAACATCTTCTCCCATACGAGCAAGATATTTGTCATCATGTGACCAACGAAATATAGGCCACACTGAAGAACCATCCGCGAAGAACGCACGTTTCTCTTGTCCAGTAAGAATGTCCCAAATTACAAGACGTTTCTGATCAGAACCAAGATCAGTTCGGGGGGTATATGTTACTAAATAACGTTCACCAGGTGAGAAGTCAATACATTCGACACCTTTCTGACTGAATCTAGCTTGTTGCAAAAATTGAGGGCCACCCCATAATGCAACACCTAATTTATGGAATGTTGCTAAATAGGTTCCCAGTGGAGACCATTTAACATATGTCTCAGTCCAGCGCTATAAAAAATACGACAATTTATTATTAAATGAAATGAATGATAAATAAAATATAATAACTTACAGAACGTTCTTCAAGTAGTGTTGGTTCAGGAGCAGAATTCTGCCAGACTTGAACAGTAACAGAGGCCCCATTTCCACAAAGTACACAAAATTGATCATAAGCATCTGGTTCTAAAAGATAATAATGCAAGTCTGCGGCAGCTTTAAACTCTTGTGGTTTTGGAGGTTCCCATTCATCTGCAATCTCTTCAAATTTCTTGAAATCAGTGAACAGATTTACTTTGAATGTATGTTGCTTGTCAATTTTGTAATTATTTACAGATTGAGCAGCTGCCAAAGCATTAAGAGGATTATTATACTCTAAGAATATATATCTGGAATAAAAAAAAATATATATAATTAATACATTACACATGTATAATTTCTGAATAAGGACATCACATGGATTAGCGATACACACCCTTTTGTATAACCATTTTCATTTTTGGGATAATATTGGTTCATTATTGTGCCAAATTTTCCTAATACTTTACTAATGACAGATTGAAGTTTCTCCAATCTTTCTGGCTCAACCTGGGGAACTCCATCGACGACAATCACGGATTCCACTCCATCTGTCTCCGACGGCTTTTGCTTTAAGATATCACCAAGAAGTTCTATAAATAAAAAATATCATATTGACAAGACATTAAACGAAATTTGTTTTCAATGTGACTTATTAATCAATATTTAATATGAAGTATAAAACACTCGTGGGTTTTTAGGTTAGGTATGCATGCCACATTTGCGATTATACGTAGCCATGCTTTCACTCAAGTAGCATAGCTTTTATTTGACTGTCATTGAGGAAAAGTTTCGTTTACCTTCATCTGTAATGTCATCGATAAATCCTTCGGGGTCGCTGAAATTTGGCTCTTCATCGTCGTTAAATATATCATCATTATTTTTTACGTTATCCTCGTTTTGAGGTGTTTTATCTGCTAACGTTTTCTTCGCCATCTTGAAAACCTCTGAACGTACAGAGAATCAAGTGAAAATGGCAGCAGGTTGCCTCTCTGCATTCAATGCAATTTTTGAAAGGTGGAAGAAGTCAAACTCTTCTAATGGATAAGATCTTTCTCTATTTCTGTACCTGTTGTGTTTATGTCAAGTCCGTATAAACTATTTCCTGTCAAAAATATATGGTATTCATTAAATAATTGAATAAATTATTAAATGATGAGAAAAGCTATCTGATTAGATAAAATATCCACTAAATTGCTAGATATTCTGAGAAGTTAGAAGTATGATAATAAGATTTCATAACTACGAATTTCAATATATGTTGTTTATTTAAAAATTGCATGATTATGGATTCTTCAAGAACTATAATCATATATTTGCAATAGAAATTTGCAATAGAAGAATCCCCCTTAGTTTCTTAGTATTTTTGAATATAATAGATAAAATGAGTGAAATTTTACTAAAATGTAAATGAATCTAAAAATGAATAATTGAAAGATTTGACAATTTTAATCTAAGAAAAATGAATAATTAAGAGATTTGACAATTTTATTCAAATTACACTATTTTCAAACAAAAAAATATTCGTTTTATTTGTCATACTATTATTGAAAGAAAATTCAATCATTCTATTGAAAGAATTGAAATTGAAAGCTGAGTTATCAATTACTTATTGTATTAAATTTACATATATATGTATATGTATAAACATGTTCTAAACAGTTTATGTTTGCCACATGACTTTTAATTAACATTACTGCATTGTTAATTTAGTTATGATGCATTTTTAGAACAGTGTAAAATTTAACAATACTCTGTTTAATATCATCTTTTTTATAGCAATTTATTTTAAAATTTAGAATTTAATTTAAACACTTCTCCGGTAAATTGAGGTTATGTCATGTGCATATATTGCTTTTTTGATTAGGAAAATATGAATAAATTATTGACTGCATCGATAAAAGAAGTAAGTCAAAAGATAAATGCTGGCGATGTGCGGTCTTCTGACATTACAAATGCAGCTATTAAAGTTACATCGATTATTAAACCTTTGAATGCTTACATCACTATTACGAATGAAACAGCCAAGAAACATGCCGAAAGTTCTGATTCACGACAAAAAGATTGTAGTTTATTGGGAAAACTTGATGGAATTCCCATTGCGATTAAAGATAATTATTGCACAAGGAATCACCCAACAACTTGTGCATCAAAGATGTTGTCAAGTTTTATTCCCACCTATGATGCTACTGTATATCAGAATCTAAAAAATGTTGGAGCAGTGTTAATTGGTAAAACTAATCTCGATGAATTCGCTATGGGTTCTGGAACCATTGACTCATATTATGGGCCAACAAAAAATTTATGGAATTCAGATGTGTTTAAAAAATTTTATTCTTGTAATAGTCAAGCGAAAGAGCACATACAACAAAATACGGATGCGCATTCATGGCATATAGCAGGTATATATACTCGTATTATATGATATATAATAGACATTAGTGAAATCTTTTATCCAATGTTTTGTAACAATTCTATTATAACTATCTAGGTGGTAGCAGCGGTGGTTCTGCAGTGGCTGTTGCAACTGGAAGTTGTTACGCTGCAATTGGTTCAGATACTGGAGGTTCAACTAGAAATCCAGCATCTTACTGCGGATTAGTTGGCTTAAAGCCTACTTATGGTTTAGTGTCGCGCTATGGCCTTATTCCTCTTGTAAATTCAATGGATGTACCTGGTATTCTTACAAGGAACATTGATGATGCTGTATTAATTTTAAATAATGTAGCTGGTCCAGATGGGTTCGATTCTACTTGTTTCCAAAAAGAATATGTACCATTTGATATACCAGATACGATAGATATTAGTAATTTTAGAATTGGAATACCAAAAGAATATAAAGAGAAAAATTTAAGCCCAGAAGTACAAGAATGCTGGGATGAAGTTTCTCAATATTTGACAGAAGGTGGAGCATCACTTTCTACAGTATCGTTACCACATACCGACTATTCTATAATGTGCTATACAGTTTTAAACCGTTGTGACGTTGCTAGCAATCTTGCTTGTTACGATGGTATGGAATATGGTTATAGATCAGATGAGTGGAGTTCTGTGCACAATTTGTATAGAAAGACAAGGTCTGAAGGTTTTGGTAAAATAGTCAAAGAACGTATTCTAGTTGGGAATTATTTTTTATTGGAAGAAAATTACGAGGAATATTATGTCAAAGCAATGAAAATAAGAAGATTAATCTCAGATGATTTCAATACAGTATGGAATAATAATATTGATCTTCTACTCACTCCTACCACTTTAACAGGGGCTCCAAAATACAATGATTTCATTTCAATGGATAACCAGGCACAATGTTCAGTTCAAGATTATTGTACCCAATCTGCTAACATGGCAGGTATACCAGCGGTTAATGTGCCAATTAAACTATCCAAAAATGGCTTGCCATTATCCCTACAACTTATGGGACCTCCTCTCAAAGAGAAGGAACTTCTTACAGTAGCAAAATGGATCGAACAGAGAGTACAATTTCCTAAAATCGAATTGAAGGATCTATCTCTATTGGAATAAAATATTTTTGTGTGAATCTTGTTTGATTCTCTATATCTTTTTATAACATATTCCCTTCTTGCTATATCTAATTCATAAGAAGCTACTAACATCAAAATTAAGCATATCAAATCATATCAGCTACCATATTTAAATGAAGATATTTTATATAATATTTTTAATTACAGTTAACGGAATTTTGTAAATAGATAGAATATTTTTTTGGAAAAATTTTTTTTTATCGTATCGTGAGACATAATTTATTATACACTTAGAAGGCATTGACCGTGTTTGAAATTTCATTTGCTGGGTAATCAGGTCGCGTTTGCTTACTATTGAAGGACCCTTTTGTTATTGCATTGCAATGTACCGTGCTTTACAAATGAATGCTAGGCAATATACGTTAAAGTTGAACTGCAGTAAGGTCGGCATGGCAGCTACACCAGCGGTTAGAGAAGCGCGTTGACATAGGTAAAGCGTCGTATCCGAAATACAAATTAATTTTTCATTATTTTACTAATAATTTTTTTATTAATAGATTGCGAATATTTATGAAAAATGTGAATATAAAAAAGTATACAAAGATACGAACAAAACACGAAAAGTAAAGCATGTATTACTACGTTTCAAAAATAAAATATTCTTCCATATACCTTGAAATTCTTCACCTTTAAAAATGTGGATTTGTACAAAGATTCGCAATCTGTTGATTAAAATTAAAGAATTTAATTTTAAGAGTTCAAAATTATGAGTGATGTGATTGTTAATTCGGTCCTTTGACTTTTGTACTAGTTGTACTATTTAACTTACTATTTAGTAATGTTTTTTCTATAAATGTTTAATTTTTAAAGATTATGAAATGTTATGAAATGTCCTGTTTTTATATTCATTGACTTTATTATAATAATTCTTAAAATAAAATGATTTCCTTTCGCGATATCTTTCAAAAATTAGACAAATGTTGATTAAGTTGAATGCATAAATTATTTAAATGGGATTTACAGATTCTCGAAATAAAGAATCGAGTTTCCATTATTCGATATTGCCTTCCACAAGTGGAATCGATCGTGACACTGCCTACGAAAGATATGTGTCATCGTGTGAAACAACCCCAAGACAAAGCAGTCGCTATGAATGAAATCAATGCATTAGAAGAATGATTTCTCTATTGATAGAGGAATTGAATTCCCTATCAATTGAAATCGCCAACAAACATAAATGAAAACACGCTCTCACGTATGGACCATACTACCATACAGACACACGTGAGTACAAAACGAAGGATTAAATTTTATTGAATGCTATCTCAATGAAAAGTATGCAATTTGGATGGTAAAGAAAATAAATTGATAGATTTCATGCATATTTCCATCCATGTACACATGCTGTACATTAATACGCGTGACATGTGATTGAAATTTTACATTCGTATAAAAATTTCAGTACCTGTGGAGGCATTAAAGCAACGAAGAAAAAAAAAAAAAGAAAAAGAAATAAGGAGGCAGGTATTCGAAAGGAGATTCGTAGCGTAAGGGTGGCCTTTATAAAAACAGGGTTGGGCACAGGGTGTAAAGGGCGCATGCGTTGACCCGGCCGAGGGCTGTCGTGTCGCTCTCTGTCGACGAATCTGGCAGTCGTCGTGACGACCTCAAACCGTCAGTGTCGCGAGTCGTGGTTTATCGTGGGATATCGGTTCATCTTGTTCGTTCTCGTCCTCTTTCGTTATTATCATTGCCTTCCCTTTTGTTCTTCTTCTCGTTCGGTTGTTCACTCGATCAGTGTCGAACGATGCCGAGGTGGCGCGATTTAAATCGCGGTCGGATTCGCGCCGCGATCGGCAGTGTCGCAGTTCGAAAGTAAAAGCGGTATTCGCTGTGTCGTTGGTGTCGGAAATCGAGATATCGAAATCATTGCGATTCTCGTGGAATGGTGTAGGCGCGTTTCTGTTGCGCAGAATACGGACGGTTGGGAATTTAAACAGGTGTGTGCCAGAGCAAGGGTACATTGGCCGAACGTGCGAGATATATTAAGGTAGATATTTTGCACACATATTAATTGATTTATCAAAGAACGAACGGGCAAACAATTTTTGCGAGTTTAGTTATGGAATATAAGAGGGAACATAAGTGACGTACTTCATTACATTGTTCGATTGAGATTGCAAAAAGTCGCGTCAGAAAAGTAGATATTTTATGACAGGCTCTCGATTTTCGTGCTTTGGAAAGAAAATTCATAAGATTTTCCACAGTGTTGAGAAATTTTGAATGAAATGTCAACGCATTGGTAGCAAGCCTTAATGTACACGTACATAAGCTACTGCTTGACAATGTAAAACGGTTTGATTGCATCACGTGACGACTTCGTTCATCATTTACAGTTTGTGAAAGATAATTTGCAAATTTACGAAAGAAGGTAGACTAATTTTAGATCAATTTTCGTATATCTAATAATTGTCTACGAATTGTGAGAATCAAGATTTTTTTCATTTCATGATAATTCAGATGATAAATTTTATTATTATAAAAATTGATATTAAATTTTGATACTAATGATTTAATAGATTGTATATTGTACAATACGACATTGTTCATTTATGTTACGTATTTAATTATATTTATATGTAAATTCATAACTACATTTATTTGTAAATAATGCAAATGTTCATTCGTTACACCTGTATTTATGTTTTATTGAAATTTATTTATATTCATTGATGTGGTATTAGAAATGGACAATTGAATTGAATGAAAGACATCATTGAACAGTGGTGAAATCGAACAGTCGATAAATTCGTTGAATTAATTAACAATCGAATAATTTATACTTTTACGACGACAATTAAATTCAGCGTTGCGTAGGTTGTGCTCGATGCTTTCATCTTTATTTGACTCGAATTGGTCGGGCGTTGTTGTATGAATGAATAACAGATTTTATTAATTCCAAATTATTTTCAGATAATGAAAAACCCCCGATTTTACCACGATATTTCTGATAGCGAGAAAAAAGGGAATTAGAACAGGGAGATAGGATTTGTGAGTGGCAACGAATGAAATGAGTAATATCCTGGTATAATAATTGCCGGTATGAAAGACACGTTTACCAAGATTAATCAAAATGTCTCCTGTTCTTTTTAGCTATTTCTGTTTCACGTGGGTGGACAGAATCCATCAATTTTATTTTTTTAAAATTTTTATTTTAAGCACCCTTTTAATGAACGTCACTTCAGTGATACCTTATGTCACACTGATATCTATATTTAACACAATATAATATACATGCATACCCTTTCTTTATCTTTTCTTGCCTCGCTAATTGTTTCAGTCATAAGCGGTCGATGCGACTATAAATAATAAATGGACGAAAAAGAAAAAGAATGAAATAAGATCACATGCTCGCAAGCAATAACAATTTTAATATTTATAGTAGTTGCAGTAGTTACTAGTTTCGTGGTACAACAGAGGTCTTTGAAGTCGCAGTTTCTTTTTTTTTCATTCTTTCATGTTCTTTTTCTTTGTCTTCAATAATTTCACGAACGATTGATACTATAATGGAAATGGTAAGAGAAGAAGAATTGGAACGCCTCGCTCGCATTTCTTGGTGGAAATAGCCGGCATATTTCAAGTTATACTTTTAGCAAGTTGTAGCATTTTCCAGCGAGCGAGAGTCGATAATTTGCCATGCACCCCTTGTTCCTTCATTCATACATTCGTGATTCTCGCCGTCCATATAACGGGACCCCGCCGATATTAGGGTGAACAGGGGCTTTGGAAAATTTTGCTTTTCCACTCCCTTTCTTTCGTTTCTCTTCTCCTCCCCCCCCCCCTCTCTCTCTTTCTGTTTGTACGACATGAAGCGTATACTCATTCGTTCTATTTTGAGGATATTGATCGGCTTTCATGCCATATGAGAATATAAGGTTTCGAGGGAAAGTTACATCGTTGCTTTACGCTCGACCTTAATATCTTTAGCCATGATCACTATAAACTTTCCCGAGAATCTGCGTCCTCATCTCCTGCCCGCCTCGTGCATCGCCGTGTGTGTCTCCACGATCGTGATTCTCCATTCTATTCCGTATACCGACCATTCGAGTGTTTTCCCCCCGACGTGTGAGAAAAATTATGCGTTACCTTTCCAAGAGATAATGGTCTTTTGATATCTCTCATAAAAATTCGAGTCCATCTCCCTTTTCCCCGCTCATTCTTCGAAACATTATTCTACATCTTGTGGAACAACTGTTCTTGTTCAGTATCTTGCTGCCTCTCATAGTTTTATTTCTTCGTTATAACGTAGCTCATAGTGTAATGTAGAACATGGAACAGCAGGAAATAGAAAATAAAACGTAAAACATGTAGAGTAATGTGGAAGAAAATACGGAAGGTAGAGAATAAAACGCGGAAAAATTTCCAGAATCGTTGGAACAAATTCACTCCGATGGAAACGTTTAATAAACAACAAAGATTCTTTGATGAAAGAATTAGTTCGTCATTCCGTTCCTAAACGCGTTAACTTCTCGTTCCATGCATGGGCCTCGTTTCGAGCAATGAAACAGGCCCGAGTCTAATCTCCAGTTTATGTGCCGTAACAAAAACCGTGCATTATGAGTTCGGAAAGCTCGCGTCACGTGAGTGCCAGCCATACCTTTACACGCGGCGAAGAAATAAAGGTAACAAGTTAACGATAACAGACCGTCAAATGGCTGGTAATTTCGTTATCGCTCCGATAGATTATTTTTTTTTTTCTTTTTTTTGTGCGCAACGTCGCAACTTTGGATATTTCGTCTGTGTTTCTTCCAATTTTTCTTTACGCAGTTAGATTTTTGTCACAGAGTTTCAGACTCTCTGAAAATTGAAACTAGTCGAAAGGTGGATGGCAAAATGAAAATGGAAAACAAAGGATTGAGCAATAACCTGCACGTAGATTGGTTTCTCCCTCGATTCAGCTGTTTTGAAAGTCATCCTTCCGACTTTAAGTTTGTTTTCCATTTCGTTCCACTTCGGTCTGTTGTTTGACGAGATATCCTCTCGGTTGATATTCTTTG